GAAGTCCAAATGCAGAGACAAGTGTCTGGAAAAATAAATGCAGTGTGGAAGTGGATCGACTTGGAGTATGGAACTATGAATTTGTGGGTCAAAAAGAATTCTAAAGAGACTGCATTGAAATCAGATAGGATTAGGACATCCTGGAAAGGGTCCTGAGTGATCATCTTACACTGAAGTAGTGTCACCTCATTCCTTTATCATCTGGTTTGAAGTGGATAGCTGTTCTTTACTTTTGAGGGTAAGGCTAGGGCAGGCAGTTCTTGGATTGTGCAAAAGACGTGGTCACATAATGGCTTGTACAGTGCTAGAACAAAACCCAGTTGTAACTTACAGCTGAAAGAATGAGTGATCAAAAATAATTTTTAAAAAGTCAAAGTATTCATATTCCACTAAAGTCGAGGTCACCTTAAGATGGACAATAGAGCATTTTAGTGTAATAATTATTAGAAAAAAAACATAGTATTTGCCATATCCACATATGTGATATAGTTCAAGCAACGTATTTTTTATCAACAAGTATTTCTGACACTGAACACAAAGCTTAGGATTACAAGGTGCAATGTGGTTACTAGTTATTCTTTCAAAAGAAAAAAAAATTCTTGTAATGTTAATTCTGCATTCACTGTATGCACTGGATCAAGTGGACTAGGATTTTATTACCTTTGGCTCCAAGCCTGTCTGTCTCCACAAAGTATTAGATTTGCTGTCATTCCTAACACTCATTTTACGTAATTTGAACTCCTGAATATATGTGATTGCTTGAGTCTCTGCCAAAAGCTTTAGATGAATTTTCCAATGTCTGTGTATGTGTAACTTGTTCTAGCTACAACTGTGGCATGGGTTGCAGGATGCTGCAGCGGATAGAAATACTTGACAAAAGCACAGAATGAACTGTCTTGTTGTATGATTGATTATATATTTCTTGCTACAAGAAGAAAACTTATGAATGGTGATAATTTGAAGGTTTTGTAATTTCTAAAAGTATATAACATGCTTCCTGATGCATCAACTTATTTTCCTTAAAATAACTCATTTACAGATAAAATAATGTGAAAATCAGGTCATCACTTTCTTAAAGTCCCATAGCTAGTATGTACAGAGTCAGAAGCAAAATTTTGTTATTCCAGTGCTAAGACTCTGATTCCTCATCAAACATATAGAATGATAGTAGCAAATATAGTGTCAATTCTTTGACCCCCAACTTTATATTGAAATTGAAATTGTGAGGATATTGCAAAGGTTGCCTTGGGGTCTCTAACCGAGCCAACCCAGTAACCTTCAGGCTTTCCTGATAGGCAAGGCTGTCTGTGCTCACAAAATTGTTCCCACTAACTTCCTGCCATACCTTCCTGTGAAATGTCTTCACTTGGTCAGGAGGGAAGAGTTGCGTTTGTATTTGACTCTTTGCATAGCTCCTTGGAACAGAATTAAATGGGATGCTCCTCTTGACTTTTCAGCTCTCGTTAGGACGTAGAGGTGGTTTATAGGATCGTCCCTTGCTAATTCAAGACCCAGTCCCTGCCTGATGCTGTTACTTGCTCAGAGCCCAGGACCTCAATTCTCGTACCATATCCTGGACTTTTCCTGTTTCCAGGAGGGGGCTTTGAAACTAAATGTGAACCTGGAAGTTCATTATTTATTAAAAGAAAGTGTTATTTATCTTATGGCTAAATGACAAGCTAGTAATTATACAGGGCTGAGGTGGTCTTTATGATAATGAATAAAGCTTGTTCAAATCTATATTGGCATCAAAAGCAGCCTTGGCTATGCAGTAAGAAACAATGTGTGGCATTGGAAAAAATTCTGTACCAGCGTCCAGGAGCCCATTTAAGCAGCAAAGGGTCTGGTCTGACTTTTTATGACACTGGGCATAATTATTTCATTACCATATGCTGTAGTTAATTTATAAATGGGAATTTATAATTTATATATAATATATATACATATATATAATATATATATACTCAGCACTGTAAGCTGCATGTCCTTTTATATACCTGATAATATATATTTATGTGCAATTCCTTGCCCAACGTATTTTTCCAATTCCCAATATAAAGTCTGAAATCTTATACCTAGAATTTATTCCTTGAATGTTCAAGAGTATCTTTGCATCTAGGGACAATATCCTATTCGTTAGTATTGCACTGGATCTAGAAATAAAAATTACAATTATTTTGACCAGTTCAATTTTAAAAGAAAACTAAGAAAAATCCCTATCAAAACTGAAACATGTTCTAAGTCTTCTAGCATAGTCCTACACAAGAATTAGCTTAAATTATCTTTCTGATACACCGATTGGGTATGTTTTAAGTGTACTCCACACCCCCAAAGTCTTGTGTTGAGAGTGTGTTCCCAGGGTGGCAGTGCTGAGAAATGGTGTGACCCTTAAAGAGATGGGCCTGTGTGGGAGGTCCTTAGTTGGGGCCATGCCCTCAGAAGGGATTGGGGGATCTCTACCTGTCTGATTCCCATTGTGAGGAGTGATATCCTTCCCTAACCTCACTCATCCCATCTACTCTACTGTCTTCCCTAGAGCCAGTCCTGTGATGATCAGACTGTCAGTCTCTAAATATGTGAGCTAAATAATCTTTCCTTTATAAAGTTAGGATACATCCTGTATTTCATTCTAGTACTGCAAAACAGACTTATACATTTCATAAACTGAATCACTTTATGGTACAGCTTTATGAACTGTATTACCTTTCCTTGGCAATGATGAAATGCTGTCCTAGGAATGGAGAACGGGCCAGGGAAGAACTCCTTTCCCAGCACAGTGGGTTACTGTTGAGTTCAGTGCTGCAAGACAGAGACTATGCAACAGGGTCATTCTTTCCCCACATTTCTCTAGTTATTTTGTTTCTCTGATTCTTTTTGCTTGATATATAGTTCACATGCCTTAAAATGTATTTAAAGTATATGCTTCAGTGGTTTTTAATATATTCAGACAGTTGCACAAATCTCACCATTCTCTAACCTCAGTACATTTTGTTCCCTCCAGAAAGAATTACTCCCCCATGGACCCCACCACACTCCCCACTAGACCTTGACATCTACTATTCGCAGCTTGGATGGGCTTATTCCAGACATTTCATATAAATGGAGTCAGATAACATGTGGCCTTCTTGGGTGTTTTCTTCCACTTATCATGCTGTTTTTGAGCTTACATCTGTGCTGTTACATGAATCAGTGCTTTATTCTCTCTTGGGGGGAATAATGTTGCGTTATATGACTATATCACATTTTTCTGGTCAGTTAATAGATGTTTAGTTTTTTCTACATTACATGTAACACTGTTATGAATATTTCTGTATATGTTTTTACTTGGATGTGTATTTTCATTTCTCTTGGATACATATCTAGAAATAGTAGTGTTGGGTCACATAGTAACTGTTTAATCATTTGAGGAACTGTCAGCCTACTTTCCAGAGCTTGTGTCTTTATGCATTTGCCGGAGCAAGGTGTTAGAGTTTCAATTTCTCTTCATCCTAAGCAACACTTTTTAGTAGTGTTGGTTTTAATCATGGCCATAACACCAGGTGTGAAGTAATATTCCACTTGCTTGTTTGTTTGGTTCTTAACCCAGTTAGCTTACATAAAACTGAGTACTTTGAGAAATCAAATTTTTAGCTTCCATATAAAATAATATTAATGTCTTGTAAGTACTGTTATTTTTCTAATATCTATCAGTGCCTCTCCACTTCCACTCTTTCAGTCTCATTTTTTTTCAGTTCAGTACTGTTATAATACATAAAATCAAAGCAGTCCTTTAATCAGTAGCAACCTTAGCAGTCTCTTATCTATGTATTACTTAGCACTATTCAAATGAAGATAGGAGATTTATCTGGGAGTATCACATATGAGAATTTAGTTTCAACCAGCTTTATCTCTACGTAGTCATCTTTAACTCACTTCCATGGGTAAATGCATTAAATTAAGAGAGTGTCACACTGAAATTCGTCTAGTACACAATACAGAAGAGGAGGCCTAGTGAATGTTTGTGTAAGATTTTTATTCAGTTGGAGCTGAAGAAGATACCATCACATTTTTCTTCTGCTTACCCCAGAAAGAGAGAGATTTCTCCTTTCCACAAAATGCATCTTGTTCATTTGACATGTTAAGGTATAATTTTATGGTATTGATTGGAAATCTCATTATAAATCACTCAACAAGACTTGGGAAGAAAAAGTGAGCAGATTTGGCTTGAGATGCAGTGATTGTAAAACAATAAATGTGAATTCTGGCACTGACTACGTGTTTTTTCTTTTCACGTATCTTTAAATTCATCATAATGATTTGGTTGTCTCACTTAGCAAATGATAAGCCTGAGGGAGAGGATGTTAAGGTTTCCTCTTAGGCTGAACCTGGCATCCTATGCTACATGGAAAATTTTTCAGTGTAATGGCAGTATTCTGTCTACTGCTTGTTTCTCATATTTATACATAAGATTTGATTATTTAGTAAACATATATTAAAGAAATTAAAAAGAAATTCACTAACATTGGGCAAAGCAGAATCATACTGATTATGTGCTTTGGTTATGTGAGAGATCTCCGCACATATAGAGTGATCCTTTTGAAAACATCTGCCGTGTCTGTGTTTGCTGATGTTGCATTTTATTTGATTCCCAGGGATAAATTCTAGTGCCTTATTCACATGCTAAGGGCCATTGAAATGATGAATGGGCAACTGCCTCAACTTAAAAATATGATGGTGGTATTAGATTTTTGGACTTAGCCTTCAGTGACTGCTACCCAGTGAATGACTCGTGTTTGAGCAGCTGTTTTCACAATAGTAAAGACTGGTTAGAAAGGAAATCCTGTTTCTTGATTTTGTACATGAATCTGTAAAAATGCTAACAGAAATTTTGTGTCATTCTCTCTCACTTGTTTTTATTGGGGGACATGTTCTTCATCATGATCAGATTTAAGCACATGGGCTGATTCATTTTTTAATATCTCTCTCTCTCTCTATCTCTCTCTCTCTCCTTTTTGCTGCAGGATGTTTTCACCCCAGAATGCAAATTTAAGGAATCTGTGTTTGAAAACTACTACGTGATCTACTCTTCTACACTGTATCGCCAACAAGAATCAGGCCGAGCGTGGTTTCTGGGACTCAATAAAGAAGGGCAAATTATGAAGGGTAACAGAGTGAAGAAAACCAAGCCTTCATCACATTTTGTACCAAAACCTATCGAAGGTATGACACTGATCTTTTTTCCTCTTTGGACCCTGATGTGTGTGTTGGCCCCGATTCTGCTCCTTGCCCCTTGCTCTGTAGGATTTTCCTGGACTGCAACAGATCAGAACAAAGATTCAGAAACCACAGTAGTACTTGTTCCTATTTAGAGATTTTAAGAGGCAGTTCTGCTGTAAAATCTTGGTGCTTCCAAAACATATGCCTGACTGAAAGCTAGAAAATTCCTAAAAGTAAGAAACTAGTGTTAGTTGTCATTTGGCATGTAATTTCCTCCTTTGCTGAACATCACAGTTTAATTTCTCAGAATATATCTTTGAAAAATCAATGATATTATTCCAGTGCTAGATAGTTTACAAAAAGGTTTTAGAAATACATTTATATAGAGTACAAATCTCTATATCTCTGAACCAATCTAACAACAGAGCCTATCAATTTTTCTTTGTACTTTTTTAGGAAAAAAATGTATACTGTTTTCTACTGTCAATAAATATTAATAGCATTAAATTTTATTCTTCTCAATTGAACCTCCATTAGTTATCTTATATAGTGTTCACTTTTTTCAAATTGGACGCTGAAATAAACCCATTTTTAGCAATTACATTATTCCTGCAAAATTCACTTAAGTTGGATGACAGTAATCCGACTGACAACCACAATTTAGTGAATTCAGTGAAGTAAATGCTAAACAATTAATCATGGTCTGAGTGTTTTTATCAATGATGTGTTCCTCTCTAAACGTCGGGTCACAATCACTTAAAACATTGGCTCCACCTCCTGGTCTGAGGAAATGAAACATATAAAGTGTTATACTGCAACTCTGTGACTTAAGTTTGCTGTCTGTTAAATATCTCTTAAAATGTGGTCAAACAACCACTGTAGCCAGTGCTTGCTCCACAGTGTACATGGCACAGGGCTGCAAAAGTCAGCAAACATGTTAAAGACAGTGCTGCGCTCAGGCCGCTGGGAGCAAGGTGACATACACAGCTCCTGGCCCTCTTCATACCTGTCCATGGACTGTGCCTCTTTAGCCACACAGAGCTGGACTTTTCTGCCGTAATATGTCTTCCTTATTGTGGCTGCGATGCTGTTCATCCTACAATCACAATTTCTATTCACTCATTTCTATTGCGTGAAAAATACCAATTAACCTTTGTAAAAAACTAATTCAAGAGTGACTACGTTTATGGTAGCCTCCTTGACTTTCTTGAAGAATAATCAAACAGTTTGTCTTCTTGTCGGTGTATACATTTCAGGACCATAGAAATGACATTATATTAAAATTACCTATTTCCCTTCAGTATCCTCTTATTCATGGTTAACTCACTCTCTGAATAATCAGGGCATGTTTTAGTATTCATTATATCTCCTTGAGTCTTGTATAATATCTGGTATATTATACCAGATATTCAATCACCAGTGGGTCATTTAAATAAATAAATATGTAAATATGTAAATAAATGAATGAATAGATAAGTATAAAGACAAAGTAGAACTATGTTCTCCAGAGAACACCATAATACTCTTGGAGATATGAAAAATGTTTACCAATACCAATAGTGTAGTGGGAAACCTGACACATCTCATGCTTCAGGAATTGATACTGTGATTTAGGGAAAGAACTCTCCCACAAAGAGGAAAATTTCTTTGAGAACCTGATAACTAAACATAGTTTTAGGGCTTGGACAGGCCCAGACAATTTGAAATGAGAGGACAGGAGAGAGGATGAATCAGACAGAAGCATCCCAACATGAGTAAAGGTGGGAAATGGCACACTTTATGGGGTTCAGCAGAGAGTATTAATAAGTAACATTTCCATGAAATAATGCACTCATTCCCAACAACACTTTCAATAAATTATGCTTTTATCCCTGCATCTTTTTTTTTTTCTGGTGCATTTAAACTGGTTTTTTGCTCTTTTAAAAAGAGGGTAAAGGAGAGCTAGAGGAGGAGGTAGGAGGAAGGGGATTAAAATAAAAAAAACAAACTATATTACATGCATGGACCAACCCCAAGATGACTGCTCAATGCATGTACTGCAAACATGTACTACTAAAAAAGTGGTACATGGTTATTAACAATTTTTGGAAAATTCAGTAAAGTATAAAAAAAAATCCATGATTTTTGTTCATTCCTTATATAGAAAATGCATTTCCTAGTACTAGGAAAGTACTCTTGAACTGCTAATGAAAGGAAACAGCTATCAACTACCCTCCTAATTCCAGCTGCTTGTGCTTTGAGTAGCAGTTCCTCTTAGGTCTGGATGACCATGTTTGGATGTTCAAAAGAAATATATACAGTGATTAAATTCCTAGTTCCAGAGCCACTTGAATTCTGTTTCTTGCTTCACTTTAGTACACATGTTGAGAGAAACACCTAGACTTTCCTGGATATCTAAGCTAGAATTGGATTTACCTTCTTACAACGCAAAACCCATGTCAACAGCAGCTTAATCATACAGATTCTCTCACAAGCTAATCCGAACACCAGCTCTGCAGGAATGGTGCAGTGCTCTGCAATTGTCAGGGGCCTTGCCCATGTCCAGCTTTTGATGCCTTTCTCTCTCCTGTGTTGCTGTGACTCATATAGAACTGTATATTGCACCCCTGCCACAAAATTGTGTGCTCATCCCCATGATCAAACCATTTCGATAACCAGAGTGCAGAGGAAGAAGGAAGGAGGTAATGTCAAGTCTGTGTACCAGTATTCTTTTTAAGATCATCCCAGTAGCTCTGTCAGGTGATACTTACATCCCAGGGGTCACAACCTAGACAGGTATCACACTTAGTTCAGGGAAGCTAACCATGTAGTCTTTTTCTTCACACCAATAGTCAGTGATCTGAGGACAATGGCAGACTGGGTTTCAGGCCACTGGCAACTTCCGTTTCCCTCTTGCATCTTCTTTATGTTAGAATATCTCTGATTTCTCAATTCCTTTATTTGTATCTATTAGTTAATTGTTTGGTTTATAACTTTTGTTATTTACTGATGCTTTACAGTGACTTCCTCACATTCTAGGACAGAAATATTCTGTTGAAAATCAGATTTATAAATACCTGGATTTCATTCAAGATTCTTTGTCTCTTCATTTGTGAGAATTAAAACTTAAGTGTGAAAGTATGCAATAAGATTCACTTCTAAAGGTGAAAACAGCTTGATTGGTTTTAGTTCAAAAACCATGTAATTCCATAAAATGTCTTTGCTATTTGTCATAAAGAACAAAGTTCACTTGTTTGAGCAATATTAGTTAACTCTTTTCTATATGCTTCCCTTGTCTGAACCGTGGTAAGCATGCTTCAATTGGTGTCTTATCTTTCATTCCATTTCTGTGAGGTCGGCTTTAGTATTATCCCCACTACACATGTGGCAGGTTAAGCCTGGGCACGTCGATTAATTTTGCACCTTGTAAGTGGCAGAGCCAGAATTCAAACCAAAACACTAAGGCAATCTAGTGTGTAATCTCCATGAAGACTTGATGCCATAAGCGACAGCCTGAGGTAGGAGAAAAGCTGTGAATTTAACCTCAACATAAGGTAATAAGAGCGTATGGTATCCCCTTGAAAAAATGCCTACCAACTCTTGCTTCTTTTAAAAAATGTCAGGAATATACCCACTCCTTAGAAATAAAAATCATTTTAGATTAATAGATTATAATTTACTTGATACCCATGAAATCAGTTCTTTTATGCCTCCTATGTGCTTTGATGCCATTATTATGATATAAAATATAAACAATTATCCAAAGATTTTCCATGGAGTTATACTTCCTATCATTCACTTTTTATTATTAGGAAAGATACCTGAGTTTTTGTCAGGTGTTCTACTTTTCATGACACCTCCCTCCTGCTGGGATCCCATACTATTCCTTTTCTTTTTCTCTTCTAGATTTTATTCTTTGATGAGTCCATGTTTCCAGAACATAATGATTATGTTCCTTGTGTGGAGCAGGTGTGTGTGTGCAACACATCATAATTCTTTGTACTTCCCCTACCCCTCCTTTCGTCACTCTCTTCCTTCATCTCTTGGTCCCCTTCCCTTCTGCAAAACAAGTCTATTTCCTGTTATCTCTTTATTTCACTGTTTATTTGTACTTTAGGTTTTTTGTATAAGACCATATTTAAGCTTATGTGTGTGATTCATTTCACCTAACATTATGGTCTCAGGAGCATCCATTTTCCTACAAATAACTCAGTTTATCCTTCTTTATGGCAGAGTAGTACTCCACTGCATGTAAATACCACACTAATATTGTTACTACTTTAGTTTGTCTTATTACTTCTATATATAGTTCATCAATTTTGTATTTGTTAAGCAGACTGTATACATTATCTCTGTAAAATCTTACAATGTCTGTGTGTTATTATCCTTATTTTATAGTTGGGGAGAGTAATATTTAAAGTAATTAAGTAACCTTTTCAAGAACACAGGGATAGAAAAGTTCAAGGTTGAGATTGTAATTCAGGAAACTCACATTTGTACCTGTGTAGCTAACCTTATACTAAAGCCCTTCAATCTGAGGTAAGCCTGTGGACAGGCAAAAAGATTCAGAAAAGTCAGGGTCAGCGATGCAGAAATCCTGTCCATGATACTCAGTGAGTACCCAGCTGGCTCTAAACCATGCAGAATGAAGACAGTCATGCAGGATACGATGAGGAGAATGCATATGGATGGAGGATAAGATAAAACAGTTAACTAAGTAATGTCGAGCTCAAACCAGGCAAGAGAGGATTAAGAAATCATCCTTTTTTTTCTGGTGGATTCTGACAGGCATCATTTCCTAATCTATGAAAGACTGTGGACCAGGTGATTTTAGCAATAGCATTCTGTGGCAGTCTTCATAATCATTTCATTATAAAACTGTGTTCTTTCATGCAGCCTACCATAGGTTTATGTAGGAAAATAATCAAAATATCTCTTTGTATTAAATTATTGAATGAATAAAGTACAGTTTCTTAAACTGTTTCCATAATGGGTGAAATGTTATTTATTTATTTATTTATTTA